AATACAGACTCAGTGAACAGTACGAAAATACAAGTGAGATCATCATGATCTGAAGAGAATGTGCAGGGGTGGTGTGAGCAGAGGATTTGGCAGACAACACTCAGGGAAGAATCAAAACAGACATAGAGTCAGACTCCTGCTGGTAGAGGATCTGGCTGACACTCAGGGAAGAATCAAGACGAACATAGAATCAGACTCTTGCTGGTAGAGGATCTGGTTGACACTCAACACTCAGAGAAGAATTAAAAAACATAGAATCAGACTTTTGCTGGTAGATGATCTGGCTGACACTCAATACTTAGGGAAGAAACTAGACAGACATAGAATCAGACTCTTGCTGGTAGAGGACCTGGCTGACACTCAATACTTAGGGAAGAAACTAGACAGACATAGAATCAGACTCTTGCTGGTAGAGGATCTGGCTGACACTCAACACTTAGGGAAGAATCAAGACAGACATAGAATCAGACTCTTGCTGGTAGAGGATCTGGCTGACACTCAACACTCAGGGAAGAATCAAGACAGACATAGAATCAGACTCTTGCTGGTAGAGGACCTGGCTGACACTCAATACTCAGGGAAGAATCAAGACAGACATAGAATCAGACTCTTGCTGGTAGAGGATCTGGCTGACACTCAACACTCAGGGAAGAACCAAGACAGACATAGAATCAGACTCTTGCTGGTAGAGGTCCTGGCTGACACTCAATACTTAGGGAAGAAACTAGACAGACATAGAATCAGACTCTTGCTGGTAGAGGATCTGGCTGATACTCAATACTTTGGGAAGAATCAAGACACATAGATCAGACTCTTGCTGGTAGAGGATCTGGCTGACACTCAACACTTAGGGAAGAATCAAGACAGACATAGAATCAGACTCTTGCTGGTAGAGGATCTGGCTGACACTCAACACTTAGGGAAGAATCAAGACAGACATAGAATCAGACTCTTGCTGGTAGAGGATCTGGCTTATACTCAACACTTAGGGAAGAATCAAGACAGACATAAAATCAGACTCTTGCTGGTTGAGGATCTGGCTGACACTCAACACTTAGGGAAGAATCAAGACACATAGATCAGACTCTTGCTGGTAGAGGATCTGGCTGACACTCAACCCTCAGGGAAGAATCAAGACAGACAAAGAATCAGACTTTTGCTGGTAGATGATCTGGCTGACACTCAACCCTCAGGGAAGAATCAAGAGAGACATAGAATCAGACTCTTGCTGGTAGATGATCTGGCTGACACTCAGGGAAGAATCAAGACGAACATAGAATCAGACTCTTGCTGGTAGATGATCTGGCTGACACTCAACACTCAGGGAAGAATCAAGACGAACATAGAATCAGACTCTCGCTGGTAGATGATCTGGCTGACACTCAGGGAAGAATCAAGACAGACAAAGAATCAGACTCTTGCTGGTAGAGGGTCTGGTTGACACTCAACACTTAGGGAAGAATCAAGACGGACATAGAATCAGACTGCTGCTGATAGCTTCAGAATTATACCTATGTGCTAGCTGTCAGGGTGGGCATGGAACACTTATGGGAATGTCTTGAGGGCTGAGATGTTGGTTCTTAATCAATCCAGGTCAGCTGATCATTCAAATGTAAAAGCATATCTCCACAGCTTCCTTTGATTTCTTAGTTAATCAACTGATCATCCTCATTGCGTAATGGATAAGTCCGTAAGTGCTCGGAGAACAAATGAGTGTTGTACACATATCCCAACAATGTATTGAAAAAAAGGTCATCCAGTACTGGATACTGTTGTTGGGATGTAAAGACCTTCCTATATTCAAAATGGTATAATGATGTGGGATGACCAGTTCCCTTGCCAGTGCTAGCCATGACCCAGAGCGGTATATCTCACCAACCCAACCCTACCCCACACAGACAAAAATCAATTGTAACCTTTCAACCTCCTATATGACAGCTTTCAAAATCTTCTAGTCACCTCAACATTTTCCGAAAGAAGAAATGTACACAGCTGTTTTTTGTTTTTGTTTTGTTTTGTTTGTTGAATCCAGTTACAAAATTACAATTTTCAGCTGATATGACATCTGCTGCTTAGAGGTAAAAAAAAAAAATGACATATACGTTGCTGAAGCGTTAATTCTGATAGACACAGCGCTGCAATAACATTTATTCAATATCTCTGTTTAGGTTTTTATTAATGACATGGACGGGTAAGGTCTTTTGACGCCCAAGCGCGCCCACACACACATAAACACAAAGTGTAGTCAAAAAAGCGACAAACAATCCGATAGCTCTACATCTCAAGCACATAATTTATTTATTTTTTTGAGTGATATATAAAACTAAATTACAATATGAGCTAGATAAAGCACAAACAGGTTTCAGACAGGGTAGAGGAACTAGGGATCACATCTTTAATATGAGAATAATTTTTGAAAAATGCAGAGAATACAACGTAGAACTTCATGCTTGTTTTATTGATTATAGCAAGGCATTTGATTGTTTCCAACACCATCAACTGTGGACTATTATGAAAAGTATGGGGTTTCCAGCGCATTTAGTGCATTTAATTGAAAATCTTTATCATGAACAACAAGCAGCCATCAGAGCAGCTGGTGAAACATCTAATTGGATCGAGGTGCAAAAGGGGGTGAGGCAGGGGTGCATTCTCTCACCATACCTATTCAATATATATGCAGAAAATATAATGAGAAATGTCAAAAATGACCAGACTTGTGACAGTTATGATCCGCTCAAAATTGGTGGCAACCCTATTTCGGAACTTCGCTAAGCAGATGACACAGTCCTCCTTTCGAACAGCGTAAAGGGAATAGAAAATTTAATATTGTCTGTCCAAAAGCACAGTGAAAATCAAAATCTGTTCTTGAATTTTAAAGAAAACGAAAATAATGTCAACAGATAAAACTGGCTGTCACCCAAAAATAACAATAAATGATGAAGAAATTGAAAATGTCACAAACTTTGAATATCTAGGCTCTGTAATAAACAACAATGGAGACTGTTAGACAGAAATTAAAAGGAGGATGGCAATAGCAATGCAACGATTAAACAGCCTTAAAAGTCTATCTAAAAGCACCAGCAAGGAGATAAAAATTGGAATTTTGAGAGCATGCATCTTTCCTGTGGCTACACACGGATGTGAGTCGTGGACTATCTCTCAGTCCTTAAGAAAGAGAATAGGGGCTTTTGAGCCGAAATGCTATAGAAAGATTCTCAGAATATCTTGGACAAAGAAGATGAGAAATATTGACATCTTAAAAGATCTGAATATCAAGGAAGATTGGCTAATAAACAGCATCTTTTCTCGAAAACTGAAATCTTTTGCTCATATCAAGCGGCACGACGGATTGGAAATAAATTATAGCAGAAGGCATGGTACCAGGAAGGAGGGGCAGGGGCCGACCGACACGAGGATGGGCACAGGATATAAGTGACTTCTTGAGTGTGAAAGTGCATGAGGCGGGAGAACTGGCGAGAAACCGAGTTTCTTTTAGACTGTGATAAGAGCGATGTTTTGCAAAGGACCTGCTACATGCTGATGATGCTATAAAACTAAGACAATGAATGTGTTTTATGTCTGGACACCAGACTGACATTTGCAGACAATATAATCAGTTTTTGTGTGGATGATTTGATAACCTCTAAGAACAGATTATTAATCAAAAGCCTGCCTTTACTTTACGAGTAAGTAACTTCTTTAAATATTGACTTTTTATGCTGACTGTTGATCTGGCGGCCTACTTGGACCCATTTTTCACTGGTGGGCCAGACCCATGGGTTGAAGAACATTGCTACAGATAATGTCTCTCTATTAACCCCTCTTGTCATTTGCATGGAAGTTCATTACAAAACCGAATGATGTCGCCTAGTGCAGCAATGATATGATATCACAACGTCTAGTTTAAGAATGGAGGTGGAGGCAGTCACTGCTGCCCTCCGCTGGCTTGAGAATCAACCACGCATACATGCCATGATTGTATGACTCACATAATTTGTTGAAAAGGGTGGACAGGCATGCTGCGTGCAGTGGCAAGCATCGCTTCAGAGGTCCCAAGTAGTTAGTATCCCTTGAGCATTTTCTCTAGGTATTGCCGGTGTGCTGGGAAATGAGCAGGCAGATAGACTGGCCAGTTCTAAACCACTTGGTTGTGAAATGATGTGTGACAAGCTATAGGTTCTGAGGCCCCTTTGGGAGCGAGTGTACAGTGCGCTGGCACAGATTACTATGGCGCTGCAAAGAGTTACCAGGGGATCTGGCAGACGCTCAACACTCACAGGAAAGGAGAGACAGGTATACAATTAGACAGTTACTGGTACTATCGGAATTGGAACTTTTCGCTTGCTGCTGAAGATGGGGACGGAGCGCTTATGGTGGTATCCCAGGTGCTATGATGTTGATTCGACATTCTCAACAAAGTGAACAAACCCTCTTATCGCTTCCCAGAAACACCGCGGGCCGTCTATTTTGAAACCAGTCGCCGCTTCCGGGCGATTCACGGCTGATGCAAGATGGCGGAAATCGTTGACTGGAATATTTATTTATTTTTAGAACGTCGTAAGCCGGACTAGATAAGATACAATTATTGGGGTTTTAAATAAAATTTCTCTCAGTAAACGAACAATTCTGTCTGCATCTGAAACAGCTAACGAGTTGTTTTTTTTTTTTAATTGATTGCACCAGCTTGCTTTGTTTTTGTTTTTATAGTTCCAATTATTATATAATCCTGAATTAAAATTAAAACATTATTATTATTGTGTTAAAAGTAAAGATAACAACGGCAACTATCTATAATAATTTATTTTCAAAAGCTTGTCAATATTAGTTTTTTTTTAGTAATAGTAATACTATTATAATGCCATTTAAGTTTATAATCTAAATTAGTAAATATTATAACGTAAAAACGGTTTTGTCAGGGGAAAAACACGTAAGTCGTAAGCAGTATTAGTATTCTAGGAAAAACTACATTGCTTAGTGGTAGTCTGTAGAAAATAAGCGAGATGGAACATCTAGTGGGTATGTTTGGTCCTGATATGGATAACGACCTCTATCATGATGATGACAACGTTATGGAAGAATTATCAAACCTGCCACCAGAGGTAAACCAAACCACACACACACAAAAAAAAAAAAAAAATTGATGGAATGTTGAATGTTCTTACTTGACTATCTTAATACTACTACATGTTTACTAGACTGGCTATCTTTTACTCTTTCAGTCCTGCAAACTTTTACACCTTAATGGGCTACGTCAGTGAAAAAATTATTGGCTCTCCTTGCAATAACGGTCGCTAGTTGGACGACGACGGCCACTTAGTCGGAGTTCAGTCCCCTGGCTGCAGTGCAATTGCGGAGTGGAAAAGAGGGAACGACACAAATGACATAATTAGGGCAAGGGGTAGGTTTAGGGCTAGGCTAATGTGAGTCGCAGCGCGTGGTCTAGACGCCATGTTGAACTCACTGTGTTTTGTGATTCGTGCCTTTTCCACTCCGTAATTGCACTGCAGCCAGGGGACTGAACTCCGACTAAGCGGCCGTCCAAGTAGCGACCGTTATTGCCAGGAGAACCAAATTAATTATATATGTCACGACTCAATTTAAAAAAAAGGGGGTAAATCTTGCATATAGCTAGATTTTTAAAGCCTGTATATAGGAAATGAGGGTCCCAAATTATTGAGGCCGAAAATTTACCCTAACAGGGCCTCAGTCACATGTAAATTGCGGACTTCTGGCAATACCGCCACCGCCGAGAGTATCTCCCACACTGCTACGTGCGGCATGGAGCGGGGCTATACTAGATGGCTGAGACTCACAAGCAAATAAAATAAAGGAAGCTGCAGGAGATGCGGTAGCTGCTGCTCGTGAGTCCCAGCCATATAATTAAAGAACCCAGGGAGATTTATAGTGTGTTACTTGGGACACAGAGAGATAAATGAGCTTTTTCTGCCTGGACCTACCCATCTTTTCTGTTCAGTTACGCAGGTCTGGTTTTATCTGTACATTTTACTGCTTCAAGTCTTTCTCTATAAAGCTTTTTTTTTTTTTTGTCGGTATGTATCGGTCAACAGCACTGGCACCTTTTTGTAGGCATCAGTTTTTTTTTTTCTGGGCCCATTCCTTTTATTTCATCCCATCTCAAGGCCTCCAAGATATCTTGGGGAATTCCCGGTAAAATCTTGTGGTAAAGGAGTGTTAGTCAGTGTTCATTTCACAGGAAAGAAAGAAAACAACACAGACTGAAAATGATAAGACAATAAACGCTGAAAACAACACAGACTGAAAATGATGAGACAATAAACGCTGAAAACAACACACTGAAAATGATGAGACAATAAACGCTGAAAACAACTAACACATTCACACAGAACGAAAGTGCATTGCATAGTCGTTCACAAAAGAAAGTTGCACACTTTCATGTGGAAGACAGTGTCAACTGTTTGTCGACACAGTGTACACACTTTCTCGCACATTGTATGAACACTGAACGAAGTCATGTCATAACACCCTAGAATATGAGACTTTCCCAGGAACTCCCTAGGAAATCTGAGGAACCGAGATGGGTAAAATAAAAGAACCTTTTTCTGTGCTGTAGTAGACACTTTTCGTTGAGTACTGGCATTTTTATTCTAGAATAAAGCACTGCTTTAAACTATTCTTCTTCTCAAAGTCTATTCCGTGTAGAGTTGGTAGTCATGTCTATCCACAACCTTCAGTCTGGTGTACTTTCAGTCAGCTCTGACACAGATGATCTTCCATGCCATGATGTTAAACTGTCCAGCATCTGTTCTCTCAGTCTCCCTCTGCCTCTTCTCCCCTCCAACTTTCCTACCGCCACAATGTACTTCAGTACTATTATTTTAAGCATATTTACCAGTACATCAGGGAATTGTATTTTTCTTAAAATTTGTTGTTGTCGTTAGCTTCCATGAAATATGTTCTTTTTTCAATAACTTTTTTTGTGTTGGTTTTTGTTGTTGTTGCATATCCCTTACAGGATGTTGCAGAACCAATTCCAACAGCCCCTGGCTGTTGTGTGGTTTTTCTAGGCAAATTTACATCCAGTAGTTTGCCATTGTTTTCTGGATGGTCGGCTTTCTTGTCCCGGCATTACAAAGCGTTTACATCGACTTAGCCACAGCGCTGACCTTTATTTTATTGTTCACAGAAATCATATTTGTAAATACATTAAAGGGCAAGAAATTCTGGTTTGCAAATGGACAGTACAGTCGTACATTCAACTATTAAACTACTATTATTCTGATTGTTTTCCAGTTTCACTGCTAATATCAGACCTTTATTCATTTAAATGTTTTTTTTTTTTTCTTTATTAATATCCTACCCTACATGACATCACAAGTCAGGACAACATTTTAGAGGGTGGTAAGAGCTGGTTTTCGGGCTTTCTGATGCTTTTAATAACCCTAAAACGTCTAGAACTGTCCCAAACCCACCTACGCCCTATGAGAGAGTGCAGCCTAGGTCCTACAAATGGGTGCAGCTTATCTACCACACCCTGAAATATTAGTCTGTCCCATGACCTGTGGATTTCCCCTGTTTGGGGTAGGATATTAGTATAGCCTTTTATTTATTTATTTTTTTTTTTTCAAGTAATCAATGTTGAGATTAACTGTGGGAGCTGGGTAGCTAGCATGTTCCTGCCAGCCCAGGGGTCATAGGTTCAGGCCACATTAAAGTGAACTTTTAAAATTACCCTGGTTCCCTAAGTTAACACCGCAATAATAAGGCACTAGGAAATTTTCTGGGAAATTAAAGTGGCCAGCATTATAATTGTTATCATTCGGAGGTCCCATTGTGGGAAAAACAAGAATAGACCCACTGCCTGCCCAGCAAGCCTGTCATAAGAGTCAACTAATTAGGGAGGCTTTCTTCGAAGTCAGAGTGCATCTAACTGAGAGGCAAGGAACCAAGAATCTGCATACAGTTAAGTCAGATCTGTTAAATGGATGTGCATGCAATCTCATGTTCTTGAACAAGACTAAAGTCAAGAGGTGGACAAACAACCAGAACTTTCTGCCAGAGTTTACAGCCAGTGAACACGAAGAAGAAGAAGAAGATCACTGATGCTGATTCGGTAAAAATAAAAAAGCGAAGAAGAGTAGCACAGTAATAAAACCATGCGTGTCATAAAAGGTACCGAGAGGGTAAGGGGTTGGGTGCGGTGAGACTGTCTGTTTCACCCTATAGACATTTTAATCATAAAATTCAGCCAACCTTGAACATATCTTCCAAGGGCTTGGTGTGAGTTGGCTGTGGGCCTATGCTCCATTGGGATATGAAATAATTACGGTTGTGGACTACTTTATTTGATCTTAACATTCTGTATTTGTCTGCTCTTTACAGGAAGAGGAAGGCAACATAGAGTATAAGGTAAGATTGTCCATTGATATAGTTCCTTCTGTAGATACTATCACTGACCAGAATGTTGCAGAACTATGGAGGATTTATGTATATATTACTTTTCTTCTCTTTCTGCAATTACCTTGGCAAAGTGTTGGGGAGATGTAAGGATCGTCTGTGTGCTTTCTCTGATGTGCTGTATAAGTTGGTCTTCATTTCTCTAAGGTTGTGCTTAATACCCTCGTTCCTTGTGGTCTTCTTCCTACTTTTTTTTTACTATATTTATTTAACATGACTATCTTTGGCAGTTATTATACCTCATTGTTTGTAAGGTGGCAAAACCGTTTCATCTGGTCTTTTTTAATGAATCATCTTCATCATTCATCCTAGGTATGTAAATGCATTCTGCCTGATTACCTAGCTGTGATATTTGCACGTTGTGATCAACACATCTGATTTCATTCGACATTTGTTTTCCAGATTAACCTTTCTGCCTAGTTTCACACAGATGCTTTACAACTTTATTTTTGTGTGGTGCCTTTATTACATGTTTCGCTTCCTGAGGATGCATCTAGGGCGACCATGTGCAGACTGGTCAGCCCTCAAGAGAAAGCAAGGGCTGAAAATGTGCATTCCCCGCCATCCAAGGTGACTTTATGAATGTAGAGCCAATACTTGGTGCTCTGATACAGGGCTCACCCAAGGAATCACCAGGTCCTGCACATGACAGCTTCACCTCACATCCATATCTGGAGCCTCCCATTCATCTCAATCTGCAGCCTGTAAGGATTAACAGGAAGCAGTCTGCAGAACAGAGACTTTGATTTACTTTACACAATGGGCATCTTGTTTCTTTTGCACGTTGAAAATCTCTAGTAGCCAATGGTGCCTATTAAGTAGGTGTTTCTGCATCTGTTGTGGCTTCCCCTTATGATTACAACACTCCAACAAATGTTTTTGCAATGGTTGCTGGACATTTGAACCCTTTGTGTCAAGTAGGGTTCTCGATCGACAGAATTTGAACCATGGTTTGTCAGTTAGTGACAAACATAGCTCGTGGACTTTACTCACATTCCAAATGAGTTTTCCTTTGACTTAATCACCAAAGCACTGGGGATAGGTTGATGAGTGCCAGAGGTTTTCTCTACACTACATCTCTGGGGACCAACTCCGAGATCCCCTACCAGCTCGGTTTAGGCCAATGCTGGCATTATCCATGATGCACGACGTAACATGTGGCAGGAGTCCTGCAGGACGATCTGTCAAACTAGCATAGAGCCTGCTGGCACCCGAGGTGAGGAACAGGGTGTCCCCTTGTATACAGCACAATGACCTTAACTTCCTCTCATGAATGTGACCAAAATCACTGCACCACTAGTGATTTCAATTACTGGTTTCAGTCCTGGTATACAAATTTCTTCATTTTTAATTTGTTCTCCTCTTGTAACTCCAGCAGCTCTCCCAAAGCATCTCATCTCTGATGTAGTCATTTTCCACTCATTACTTCTAAGGGTCCATGTTTGACATTGATAGCATAATTTCAATAAAAAAATGGTCTTATGAGATTTCCTTTGGTAGTCATAAATATACTTATATAAACAGTGGATAAAATCAAAGAAAGAAGAAGATTATATAAACTATAGACTGCAAAGGAGAGAAACCAACAGGAGTGTCAAGAAAGCAAAACAAGCATCCTGGGAACGTTTCGGTGAGTCATTAGCAGAAAATAAGAAAACAGCCAGCAGAAAATTTTTCAAAGTAGTTAAAAATATGCGGAAAAGAGATGAGAGCTACAACCCAACTGAAATAATTAATGATAAGACAGGAAGGCCATTGATAGATCCACCCGAGATAGCAGAAAGATGGAGGGAATACTTCAATGAGCTCTTTAATCCTCTAGGAGATCATCAGGAAAGAACAACTGAAGTGCACAGAGCAATAGTGTTAGAACCACACATACTAATGGGTGAAATATAAAAAGTCATTAAGCAGTCTCCCAAATATAAATCATCAGGAGCTGATATATTACCAACAGAAATAATTCAAGCAGCAGGTGAAAGCAGCATCAGATGGCTTCACAGAATATTTAATGCAGCATGGGTACAACAAACTGCCCCTATTGATTGGCAACATGCAATAGTTATACCATTGTGGAAGAACAAAGGAAGCAAACGAGAATGCGGTCAATACCGAGGCATCTCTCTTTTAAGCCATGTTGGCAAAATGTATGCCAAGATAATAGAAACAAGACTGAGACCAGTGATAGAACCACAGCTGGCAGAAGAACAGATGGTATTTCGGAGAAATAGAAGCTGCACAGATGCAATCTTCACACTTAAACAGTTAATAGAAAAGAACATTGAATACAATAAGAACTTATTTGTGGCATTCGTAGACCAGGAGATGGCTTTTGACAGAGTCGACAGACAATTATTATGGAAAGTAATGGCAAGATATGGAGTAAGCAAACTCCTCAGGATTTTTCTGGACAAGTTATGGGAAGCTTTAAACTGGAACATATAAGGGCTGCTTCCAGGCTGGATGGAGCAAGAACAAGGGGGCAAAATTATATAGCCTGATGGCTTTGGTAGGCCAAGAACACTGACCTAATCTGTGATTAAGTGAGATGGTGAACTGTGACCATCTGTGCTTATCGGAAGGGCACCTGATTTTGTGGAAGTTTGCTAAAAAAATATGATCATTGGAGGTTGACTAGATCTGTGTCCCCTCAAATCTCAAGTTAAGCTTGTCAGTATTGATAACTTGTTCAACTTTGTAACAGGCTGATAATGTTTTCTTTGATAACTATGTAGAATCATAGTAACATTTGTTATGACAGCTTCTTGTTTCTGAAACAGCTGAAGTTGGTGAATCCTTCAGAGTTTAGAATGGAACACCTGGTGACACAGATGAAATGGCGACTAGAGGAAGGGCATGGGGAAGCTATCTATGAAATTGGAGTGGAGGACAGTGGTTTTCTTGCTGGTCTGTCAGATACTGAGCTGGAGGCCTCTCTGTCCACACTGCACAGGATGGCTGATAGGTCAGAGATTGAATACATATCTTATATAGTTGCCTGCTTTTTTTTAGCTGTCTTTTTTAAAACTATGATAAAATGTTCTCGAGTGCAGTTTTATGTTGTCTTTGTGTTAAGTCTTGTTGTCAAGTGCTGTTTTTTGTTGTCTTTGTGTTAAGTCTTGTTGTCAAGTGCTGTTTTATGTTGTCTTTGTGTTAAGTCTTGTTGTCAAGTGCTGTTTTATGTTGTCTATGTGTTATGTCTTGTTGTCAAGTGCTGTTTTATGTTGTCTTTGTGTTATGTCTTGTTGTCAAGTGCTGTTTTATGTTGTCTTTGTGTTAAGTCTTGTTGTCAAGTGCTGTTTTATGTTGTCTTTGTGTTAAGTCTTGTTGTCAAGTGCTGTTTTATGTTGTCTTTGTGTTAAATCTTGTTGTCAAGTGCTGTTTTATGTTGTCTTTGTGTTAAGTCTTGTTGTCAAGTGCTGTTTTATGTTGTCTTTGTGTTAAGTCTTTTTGTCAAGTGCTGTTTTATGTTGTCTTTGTGTTAAATCTTGTTGTCAAGTGCTGTTTTATGTTGTCTTTGTGTTATGTCTTGTTGTCAAGTGCTGTTTTATGTTGTCTTTGTGTTAAGTCTTGTTGTCAAGTGCTGTTTTTTGTTGTCTTTGTGTTAAGTCTTGTTGTCAAGTGCTGTTTTATGTTGTCTTTGTGTTAAGTCTTGTTGTCAAGTGCTGTTTTATGTTGTCTATGTGTTATGTCTTGTTGTCAAGTGCTGTTTTATGTTGTCTTTGTGTTATGTCTTGTTGTCAAGTGCTGTTTTATGTTGTCTTTGTGTTAAGTCTTGTTGTCAAGTGCTGTTTTATGTTGTCTTTGTGTTAAGTCTTGTTGTCAAGTGCTGTTTTATGTTGTCTTTGTGTTAAATCTTGTTGTCAAGTGCTGTTTTATGTTGTCTTTGTGTTAAGTCTTGTTGTCAAGTGCTGTTTTATGTTGTCTTTGTGTTAAGTCTTGTTGTCAAGTGCTGTTTTATGTTGTCTTTGTGTTAAGTCTTGTTGTCAAGTGCTGTTTTATGTTGTCTTTGTGTTAAATCTTGTTGTCAAGTGCTGTTTTATGTTGTCTTTGTGTTATGTCTTGTTGTCAAGTGCTGTTTTATGTTGTCTTTGTGTTAAGTCTTGTTGTCAAGTGCTGTTTTATGTTGTCTTTGTGTTAAGTCTTGTTGTCAAGTGCTGTTTTATGTTGTCTTTGTGTTATGTCTTGTTGTCAAGTGCTGTTTTATGTTGTCTTTGTGTTATGTCTTGTTGTCAAGTGCTGTTTTATGTTGTCTTTGTGTTAAGTCTTGTTGTCAAGTGCTGTTTTATGTTGTCTTTGTGTTAAGTCTTGTTGTCAAGTGCTGTTTTATGTTGTCTTTGTGTTAAGTCTTGTTGTCAAGTGCTGTTTTATGTTGTCTTTGTGTTAAGTCTTGTTGTCAAGTGCTGTTTTTTGTTGTCTTTGTGTTAAGTCTTGTTGTCAAGTGCTGTTCTATGTTGTCTTTGTGTTAAGTCTTGTTGTCAAGTGCTGTTTTATGTTGTCTTTGTGTTAAGTCTTGTTGTCAAGTGCTGTTTTTTGTTGTCTTTGTGTTAAGTCTTGTTGTCAAGTGCTGTTTTATGTTGTCTTTGTGTTAAGTCTTGTTGTCAAGTGCTGTTTTATGTTGTCTTTGTGTTAAGTTTTGTTGTCATGTGCTGTTTTATGTTGTCTTTGTGTTAAGTTTTGTTGTCATGTGCTGTTTTATGTTGTCTTTGTGTTAAGTCTTGTTGTCAAGTGCTGTTTTATGTTGTCTTTGTGTTAAGTCTTGTCTTGTTGTCAAGTGCTGTTTTATGTTGTCTTTGTGTTAAGTCTTGTTGTCAAGTGCTGTTTTATGTTGTCTTTGTGTTAAATCTTGTTGTCAAGTGCTGTTTTATGTTGTCTTTGTGTTAAGTCTTGTTGTCAAGTGCTGTTTTATGTGAAATATTTGTTCATTGTTATTGTATGTGAGATACGTTGAAGTGTCGTTGTATCTTATGTTATGTTTTATCATCACAATTTACGACTTTGCACATTGGGCATTCCCATGCATGCTCAGTCCTCAGCTGCCTTTTCAAGGTACCTCTGCTGATTGTTCCTCTGTCATTGTATGTAATTTATGTGTTAACTGTCATTATGGAAAAGATGTGTCCTTTTTATATGTGAGGTACGTTCATTACATTTTTCTGTGAGCTGTATGTGTGTAAAGTGTTGTTACAAGTTAGATGTGTGCTAGGTGTTGTTGTTAGCATGCACATGTCATAAGATGTAGGTACTGATTGTTCTGTGGCGTCCGCGGCTTAGGCGTTGCGAGTCCGACTCGTAATTCCAACATACCACGATCGAAACCCACTGCTGGCTGTGTTGATTTTTATCATGGTATGGGGCGTCGCGGGTCGGCCCAGCCTAAAATGGGTACCAGGATGTATTTCCTGGGGAAGTAAAGACAGCTGGCGTGATGCTGACCACATTACCCACCTAGTGCCGATTGGTCTGTAAAAATATGGGTGCTCTTTCCATATGCCTGATGCGCCTAAAAGGTGGGAAAAGGGATCTTCTGATCTTTACTAATTGTTCTACTGATATTGGTCATAAATACATCAGGTTTAGCCCTCCATATGTCTCTCCTTATTTGAGCCACACTTAAATCTAAACCCACATATTAGCTGATCCTTCAGTAAGATTAACATGTTCATGTATGCTCACATCTCGGTGACTAGATTTTGGAAAGGAAAAAATAAAACTGGGAACAAAAGCTCTCCTTTGCACATGAAACACACCTTATAAAGTAGACAGATTCCCTCTATGTATTTCCCTGGCTAGTTAAAAACATGTGTTGCATATCTTTTGCTGCAGGTCTTTACAAAGCAACACCAGTATTGATGGGCTGTTGTGTGGGTTTTCTGGAGAATTATTGTACTAGTTTGCCATTGCTCCTGAACAGTAAGGCACTCAAGCTGTTGATAGAATCAACATTAAACAGTCTGTTACCACATTGCCTACATTTGACTTAGAAACCCTGGTGTGTCACGATTATGAAACTGCATTCACAACTTTTAAGCCAAAAAACAGCTGGTTAATACAGGAATCTTTATTGGTTTTTATCCAAAGCACATGATAAAAGGTTAATGGAACCAACATTTATCTTACATTTCCTACTTATTCCCATCTTCGTTTTGAGTTATTCCATTCCCCATTTATAGGGAAGAGTAATAATTCCACCAATAGGTGAAATAACCACGCCACATCTTGAAGTCGAAACTTAAGTATTCTGTATGTTTTTTCCCTCTTTCATTTGCCTGAAGTAAGTTGCCTATATCTTAAATTTGATCACTTGTAAAAAATTCACTGTCATTGTTAGTTCATTCAGTGGTCAGTAGAATTTCCACTGTTCTTTTTTGACTAAAGGTTTGCATGAATGTGTCATATTCGGGGCAGTCTTGGATTATGTGTTCTTCTGTCTGGGGCTATGTTCCTTATGTACATGTGATATGCCAATCTTAAGTTTCATATACTTGTGGCTGCCTAAGTGGTTTTGCCTTGTTCTGAGATGCAAAAGGACTTATTCTGATCTGTTCATAACAAGATAGCCTCATATTGTGCCAGGTTTTTTTGGTTTTTGTTTCTGTCTGGAATTGCTTGTTATTCCTCAAAAGTTTATTGTGTTAGATGCAGTGCAAGCAGTAATCTTAACTGTTCTGGTGACACAGATTGGGTGCATCGCTGGAAATCTTGCGTGAAAAAGTCACTGACGATGACCAGCAGGGCCAGAAGAAACGTGCCCTTGAAGTGCTCGTCAGAAAGGTGCCAGACGATCAGCAGGTATCTATTTTTGATAACAAAAACAAACAGTTATATGAATGATCAAACACTGCCATGTTTTAATAGGGCTCAGTTGGAAAGTAATGAGTCTTAGCCTTATAGCCTGTCAGGTGCATTGTCACAAAAGGTGGTGGTTGAAGGTTGTCGCAAGAGTTCTTCACAAAACATTTTAATCTAACCAGTCATGACCAAGTTTTGAATAAACAAAAAAAGAGAGAACACAAAAACTAAGATGGAATGTGGGAAAACATGAAAGGAGCTATAAAAGATTGCAGTTGACATTGTGTAAATAAGACTTATGCTCCACAGATGGTTTGCCATCTAAAAAATGTATGTAAATTTGTAAAATAAAATAAGCTTCATTAATGCACTAAAAAGACACAAAAAATTTATCATGTAGTTTATCGGACACACACGAGTAAATAAATCTCTTTTCAAAATTCATCTGCATAGTTCTGCCACGACTAATAAAAAGTATGAACATTTAGAACTTTCTGTCGGGGTTTGCAGCTGGTGAAGAAGAAGAAGAAGAAGACATGTATACGGAAAATGGCTTATACTGTTGACATCTTAAGCCGAGTATTATATGTTGTTAGGCACACCATGCAAACTAACATTATAGACTTGGTCTGTAGACCAAAAGCTTTTTGGGCCCTTATTCTCACGCTCAGTGGTTGATGTGGTTTTAGTTACAAAGTGGAAAACAGCAGTGATCTTACATAATGTCATGCACAAACTGAAATTCAGAAAACTTCAAAGAATGTCTAAATAATGGTCATGTTTGTTGTCAGAGAAGATTGTATTCTTGTGACAGGCTTCTTGGCAGTAGTCCTGCACATGCAGCGTGAGCAATGGATTAGGATGCTGTAGAAGATGAACAAAGTAGTTTAATATTGTGCAAAAGATATGGCATATCCCATATGGCACATCTGTTTAGAATGACCAGCTGCATGCTGAAAGTTTTGAACAAAGCACAAACTCCAGAGCTTCAGCATTGATCCATGAGGATCTCTGTAACAATTGCACTTGGGAACTGAACGGACCAGTCTGTAGAACAAACCCACAACCTTTATGAGGCTAATGGCATGACCACTTAGCCATCAAGACCCCCCCAAAAATGCACAGCTTTCATGAAGGCCTGATCTCATAGCATTGTTGTTTATTGTTACAGTTTATTGACCTAAAACTGGCGGTGTTGGGAAATGTGGATGTTGGCAAGAGCACACTGCTGGGGGTCCTGACTCAAGGAGAGCTGGACAATGGCAGAGGGCGTGCCCGGCTGAATCTGTTCCGTCACTTACATGAAATCCAGTCCGGGCGCACTTCTAGCATCAGTTATGAAATCATGGGCTTTGATGATAGTGGAAACGTATGTACAGATTTAAGCATATATGATTATGATCATGTCTGTCCACAGCCTTCTGTCATATGATGTCAGTTACTTCTCATACATTTGTTCTGTGCCATGGTGCCACACTTTCCATCTCTATGTTTATGTCTGTGTGCGTAGTTGTGTGTGTTTGTATGGGTCATTTTGTGTGGCTACGAATGTGTGTGTATAGCTGTGTGTGTCTGTCTGTGTCTGGGTTGTATGCATGTGTTTTAGAGTGTGTGTCTGTGTGGGCAACTGTGTGTATGTGTATGTATGTATGTGTGTGCATGTTTGTATGTATGTGGATGTATTTGTGTACTGGGTGCCTGTGTGTGTGTGTGTGTGTGTGTGTAAGTAAGCAAATGGGTTTGCATGTGGGTGTGTGTGTTCTTGAGCGTGCGCACATATTTTACCACCCATGCTTTTGTTTTTGACTTGATATTCTTAATATGCATATTATTACATGAACATTACATGCTTTATTGATGAAATACAAATGCTGTGTGAAAGATGGGAGTTTGGAAGGGCCGAATGTAAGACAGGCCTGTGTGCCTAATCTGTAACCCTTTGAAAATAAAGTTTGTTCGTTCGTTCTCCTCTCTGGTTCTCTTCCCTTTTAACTGTAAGAGTACAAAATGAAATTTGTTAGGATTATGTTGAAGACTTGACATGACTGTACGCAGAATAAACCTATGAGTGTTCAATCTCCTCAATATAAGTTGAGTTTTCATCCATAGATGTTTCACCAGGCTGTCATTTATTGTCTGCAGTATATCCTCTCTGCCAGTCTTCAGTGTCTCAATGAAGGGTAGTGTCTTTGAAGTTAGCATGTTAGCCTAATAGCTACCATGTCATCATCATCATCATCAGGAGCATTGCAGACTGTCAAAAATAATCAAGTCTGTCCACAACTTACAGTATCCAACAGCATGTATCACTTTCATTTGCTGACAAGACTCTTCTTGTGTTTACTTCCTCTATATCTCTCTTAACAGGGTCTGCTTTTTTTCCCCAATTATTCTTCTAAAGCTTTTTTATTTTTAAATGTTACAATGTACCCTTTTTTTAGTTCACAAAGAAAGGCTGAAAATGCTGGGGGAAAAATCTTGATATATGGAAGTGAATCATGGACAGTTGGTAAATTAGTGAACACTTGTTTGGAAGCTGTTAAAATGTGGTTTTATAGATGAACGATGAAAATACCTTGGACAGAAAAAAAGAGTAATGAGGATGTCTTGACAGAAACTGACTCAAGAAGAGAACTGATTGCCCACATCGGAAAGAGACAGTCTCATTCTTTGGTCATGTGATGAGAAAAAAAAAAACTGGAGTGCATCACGACAGTGGGAAAGTTAGATTGGGGGAGAGAGAGACAGAGAGAAAAGATGCTGGACGTTTTGACATGGCATGGAGGATCATCTTTGTTAGAGTTGATTGCAAGTACACAAGACAGAAGGTTGCACATGGACTCTAAAAAAAGAAGTGTAGTTTAGCTTGAAATTCACTGTAATGGCCAGTTCAGATTCACTACTGAAGAATGTGTGTGTAAACAGTGTGAGATGACAGTGATGTATCTGTTACAGGAATGTTATTGACAAAAAACTCCTACAGAAACAACTCACCATCACTAGTTTCAGTTGATGGAAAGGTGTCATCATCATGTGCCTCAGCAGGTGGCAAAAGTCACTCATGTCTGTCCACAGATCTCGATTCTTGGTATTTTAAATCAGTTCCACTGATGATATTCCTCCATGCCATCACTTCAGCCCATCAAGCTTCATTTCTTTTGGTCTTTTCAGTCATCTTGATGTTCTCCAGTGCCTCTCTTCTCATCTCATGACAGAATAACACTGACTGCCTGTTTCTTATAACTGAGATTAGATAGTTTTTTTTTTTATTATTTAATTAGCCATTTCCAGGCACTTGTTAGTTTTTCTGTCCACAGTATACATAGCATTTGTCTGAGAAACCACATCTGCACGCTCTTTTTAATTAATTTGTGTTCATTCCAAGATCTCAGGCCATTTAGTAGCACTGATCCAATAGAACATTTCAGTACTGTTTCTTCTCAAGTTTAATGAGAGAGACCTATTGCATCAAATATATTTCACTTTGTGAAATGTCACCTTCGCCTGGCATATCTTAATCTCTGACACAAATCTTCTGTCAGATATTATAATTGTAAAGGTATGAGAATCCTCAACTCAGCAGTGAGTTTTATATGTGGAGATTCAGATGCAGCCTTAAAAATATGAATTCAGATACTGCAAGAAATTAATGTAGTTAGTGACTTAAAGAGTGGATGACTCCTGAAAGCAGACTTTACTATTTTGCTCAGAGTAAAATCAAAGTACAGTGGAACCTCGCTTAACGAGCATAATTCGTTCCAGAATCATACTGGTTAAGCGAAACAATTTTTCTCACATAAACTAATGTAAAATACGATAATGCGTTCCATGTCGGAAAAAAATACTCACAAAATGCTATGTATAATGTTTATTCAAAGAAAATTATAAACATGTTGTTAAGGAGAGTGAACCATCTTCATCTTTTCTTCAAAGCGGAACAAACCCACCTGGAATGTGAATTCGATTTGCAAAAAAAAAAAAAAAAAGTCAAAATAATTATGATACATAGCTAAATTTTTTTTTAAATTGAAAGATGCCCAGAGACATTTGTTTTTGCAGACGCTTAAACATTTAGTGAAAATGCGACACAGCATTATCAATAAATAAATTTGCAACGCACATAGCCACTTCCTTATTAGTGTGATGCTTCTCAATATAAGATGCAACAGTTTGCCATGCTTTCAGCATTTCTCTTATTTCGCCAGAATTTTGTTGCTTTTCTGTTACCTCCCCCTCTAACAAACTTTCCTCCAAAACTTCTTGCTGTGAAACACAATGCAACTCAACTCTTCGGTGGTCATATCTTGGCTGTGCTCTTCCACAAGCTCTTCGATATCACTGTTATCCATCTACAATCCCAAGATAGTGGCCAAAGACACAATCTCATTGACTACAGGTTTCAGAGGTACTGTCTCGAACCCCTCAAAGTCACAAATCGACAACACACTCCGGTTAAAGCTTCTTCCAAGCAGAAGTTAGGGTTCTCTTGTCAACCCCTTCCCCCGCCTTGTCGATCATCTTGAGGCAGGCAACGATGTGGAAGGGATTTTTCTAAAACTCTTTAAGAGTGAAGTTGGTCCCTTCAGTCACCCGAAAACAGTGCTGCTCGAAGAATGCCTTAGTTTAGAGCTTCTTAAAGTTAGAAATAACTTGCTGGTCCATGGGCTGGAGTAACAGAGTGGTGGTGTTGGGAGGCAGAAACTGGATCTTGATGAACTTAAATTCTTCAGAGAGGTCATCTTGTAGGCCTGGAAGATTCATGTACATATATTACAATAAAACACAAGTTTGAGAAAATTTGGGATTACAAGCGATACTACGATGCTACTGGAAAGAGTGCTAAACACAGACTGATGTAACATGCGCACAATGCAGTACTTCCCCTCTCCTCGCCACTCGTTATGTGAAACGTCGCTCGTTAAGCAAGTCATTTTTTTTACAATTTGTTTTATTCGTTATGCGAATTACTCGTTATGAGAGGTGCTCGTTAAGCGAGGTTCTCATTCATTCATTCAGTAGCATGTCCCTCGCGGAAAACCTTCCTATCCTGAGCAAGATGTCCTGCGTCTGATACACCCATCTGGAGATCATCTGCCACATCCTGCACCCATCTTCTCCTTGGCCTTCCTCTTCCTCTCTTCCCAGGCATATACCCCTCCATTATTGTTCTCTCTAGACTTCCATGACGTTTCAAGTGACCAAAATATTTCAATTTTCTTTGTTTTATTGTCTTTACTAGCCAACCCTCTTCAATATTCAGCTCTTGAAGTATGGATGCATTTGTTCTTTTCTTTACCCAAGATATTCTTAGAACCTGTCTGTAACATTTATATTCAAATGCAAAGCGAGGTTCTACTGTAGTTAAATATACCTTTTTTGAGATTAGAAGAATCCTATGTCAGTGAGAAGTCAGGTGGCTGCTCCCTCACTAACCTATAGGACATTCTTGTATCTGTTTAGATACACATGACCACACACCCATCCTAAGCAGGCTGTCATGAAACTATGGCAGGAGGTGGTGCAGTGAACTTGAGAGCAGCCAGCAGTTGTTGGTCAAAATCTCAAGTTGCCAGATAGGGTAGCAAAACATTACTGCCTATGTTTATCAGCAGGGCATGTAATGATGATGATGATGAGACCTTTTCTCCAAAAACATCAAGGTGTTGACACAATCAACTGATGTCCTTTAAAGGATGGATAATGGGAATAATCTCAAAATTTAAGCAAAAAGCAGAAAGTGCTGTGTCTGTATTCTGAAAGATAAACAAGCTACTTGTGAAGCTTATGAATAAAATAGCATGTGTTGCCGTGGCAACAAACTGTATATTTTCAGGTAGTCAACTACAGTGCATGTCGGACTGTTGAGGAGATCTGTGAGAAGTCTAGCAAACTCATCACTCTGATCGACTTGGCCGGACATCACAAATACTTGAAGACCACAGTGTTTGGGCTGACAGGAAACTGTCCAGATTTTGCCATGCTTGTTGTCAGTGCAAATACTGGAATTGGTGAGCTCTAGCCTTTGTCAGATGCTTCATTAATGAGCAAAAATGGGTGGGGCATGGAATAGTAATCAGGTAGTCATCCTGTAGATATCTTACAGAACCACAGAATTGGTAAACATTTTATTACTTGTTTAATTAAGTGTCCATTATTATAACATCTGTGACATCATATTTCAACACACAAGATTCAAAATCAGTTGCAGGTCATTTGTTTGTAGGCTGCTTTGTGTTGTTTTAAACACAGGTTTAAGTGTTGAACCTTTCAGAAAGCAGTGGCAAACTATTAAATGTACGATAGATTAGTAAAACCACAAATTGGTAACGAATGCTGAGGTTGTTTTAGTATGAAGATTTGAAACTTAACTTAAGTTATAATGAGAGAGGATATTGATTATTGATCTTTATTTTTTATTATTTTTTAGTCACTAGTGTATACTAAAATCGTTCCTGCTTTAAATATTCATTTGTTGGTAGGTTTTCAGCCTTAGCAGCAGCAAATTCAACTACTATTTCCAATGGGAGAAGAATTTTTTTAACCTGCCCACTGTGCACACATGTTCCCTGAGTTTTTCACCCTCGTCCACAAAGGCTGAATGTCTGATCTGATTTTCCAGGATCAAGAATGAGTACATGGACCATTTTTGTTTGTAAAAATGCATGTACCACATCTAAATTGAACTAGGTCTTCCTGGGCCAGAGACTACCTCGTAACCTCCCATTTAGTATGATTTCTACTGGCACGGGGATGGAGCAGTGCTGATGAATGCAGGTGGTCATGGTTCGATATCTCATATGATCATTAGGATCAGGCATCAGGTCAGTGTTCTTGTCCAGCCAGATCCATGTGGCAGCCATCCAGATACATGTTACATGTTCTACTCCTTTAGGCGTTTTGAGCATAGGGGGCTAGACCTGTATTTCGTAGACCAGTTGGCACTCAATGGGTGATTCAGTTAGCATCAGGCCAGCCACCTTTACTTCTCAGGACTGTACCCATTTTAAGGCTGGTTCGACCTGAAAGCCAAGGTAAGTTTTGAAGGAAAAAATCTGGCTCTATTTTGATTTGAACACACGACCTTTAGATCTGCAGGTGAATGTCTAGCCACTACACCACAGTGACTCCCTATTACATGTGTTAAGTTTGTTGCATATCCTTTACAGGATGTTGCAGAACCAACCCTACTATTTTTTGGCTGTTGCAGTTTTTCTTGGCAAATTTTATGTTCAGCTTCAGTAGTTTGCCTTTGTTCTGAACAGTCAGCTCTTGGTATCACTGCCGAAACTACTGCGAGACAAATTGGCTACAGCTAAGTTTGAACCCGGCATTACAAAGCGCATTCGCAGCGCTTAAGTCACTGAGGTTGACATTTGTACAGTACAAATATTCTACAGTAGTTCTTTATAAAAACCTGGTTTGGGACAGGATGTTTTAAATGATGTCTGCATTATTGTACATTTGTCTCCCTATACAGCTGGTACCACTAGAGAACATCTTGGTTATGCCCTGGCCCTGGATGTGCCTGTGTTTGTGGTGGTCAACAAAGTGGATATGTGTCGTCCTTTGATGCTGGAGAAGACGTTGACACAACTGGAGCAGATTCTCAAGTCCCCAGGGGTGAAGAGAATACCCATACGCATACTGAATTCTGATGACGCTATCACAGCTGCTAGCAGCCTGGAGTTACAGAAGTGAGTCAGCATTGATTTCCCAGACTCTGTCGAATGTTGAACTAAGAATCAACATTGTAGCACTCTGGACACTCCCATAAGTGCTCCTTCTTCAGCAGCAAGTGAAGAGTTCCAATTTGGGTGGTACCAGCAACTGTCTGATTGTACATCCGTCTTGCCTTTCCCCTGAGTGTTGAACGTCGGCCAGATCCCCTGGGAACTCCCCGCTGTGCCATTATTCTAAGACTATAATGATCTCTTTGTGCCTCTGCACTGTTCACAACTCCCAAAGGGCCCTCACAACATCTAGCTTGTGACTGTCATCTTTACAGCATATAACATTCTGTATTACAATCAGTACCTATCAGGTGTAGGATGTATGTCCTGGGGAAGTAAAGATGGCCGGCGTAATGTTAACCACATTACCCACCTAGTGCTGATTTGTGTGTAAAAATTGTGGGTGCTCTTCCCAAATGCCTGATTTGCCAAAGGGCATGAAAAGGGATCGTTACTTTACCTGTCAGGTGTGTTCACTGTGATGCAGAATTCAGTATCAAAACTCATTTTTACACCGTTAAATGCCTTTTATTTGGATAGGGTGGAAATTACAAGCTACTTGGCTGTGATTAATGGGGGCAGGATGGGATCAGTGGGAATTGTGAATTTATTGTTTATTTTAATAGAAAGTGAACGGGTTATCATAAATGGAATTTTAAAACGGTTGCAAGATATTGTACTAGATCATGGCATTGTGAGGTGAGGTGACCAACTTTCTTCCTTCATTGTTAAAGGTGATTAGTAATTGTTGAAACCTGAACATTTATGAGAAAGTTATAGACTAATGCAGGTTACTGGTATTTATAAAACAAATGATATGAAAAATAATAAGAAACAATCCTACTAGATCATGGTATTATGAGGTCATGTAACCAGCTTCTTCAAATCACTACTTGAGGTGCTGTTTACCGAGTTTATCCTGAACATTATGAGAAGGTTATTGTTACAGAGAATGAAAGATTGAAGAGCATATATGAAATCACTAATACAAAGACACTATGGGAAGATCTTGTTTACTGACACCACCTTATGTTTAAAACAAAATATTTGAAGTTACCAATTGCATGTTGTGTTCTACAGCATAACTCCAATCTTCACTGTGTCCTGTGTGACTGGACATAACCTGGACCTTCTGAAACAGTTTCTAAACATTCTGCCGCCTGTCACACCACACAGCGAACGAGAGAAACGAGCACAGGACATGACCCAGTTTCAGATTGATGAACTGTTCTCTGTTCCAGATGTCGGGACAGTCGTCGGTGGCTTGATACAGAGGTTTGTTTTTGTCATTCAGCACCAGATCATCCATGAGAAGTAACAGTTTGTTCCGGGCTACAATGTTGAAAACCTGGATCGTAATAGGCCAGAAACTCAAACCCCAGTATAGAAAGATTAATTAATAATACAATATGTTTGGCATTCTTCCGCAGGCCACCTGCTTGGCCTCTACGGGCCACCAGTTGAATAGCCCTCAAGTAGATATTTCTAGTGGTCATGCCATTGGAGAAGAAAATGTAGTGCTTACTTCATATTTGCAATATCCAGCCAGACAGGGTCCCCCATTCCTCTTTTCTTAGAAATCTAGAGTATTATGTTATGAGGAGTCCTTGGGGAAAAAAAAAAAACTAATTTCTGAGATTTGAACCCACACTGATGTGTGAGAAAGTATGAGTGCTAAAAGCTGCTGCCATGGCTTACTTTTAACTTTATGTTCTCCTAAATTCAACACCTTCCACCCCTTGTCAGAAATCATGAAATCTAGTTTTATGTTGAAACCACTGGTTCTTATTGAACAAGCCTGAGTCAGCTTCAGAGCTGTTAGGAGTTGAGAAACAAATCTGTTGATGTTTATAACAAGGTGTTTTATATGACTGGATCTCTCTCCATATAACAGTGGTTCATTAACAGTGGACTGTCACACAATGACCTTAGATATCAACAAAACACCTGCACTCACTGCATGAAGTCCAAAGCCACACCCATGACCTTTGGAACACTAGGCAAACTGCTTAGCCACTTTGCCATGTAGTTCTTTTGAGGTTGTTTTTCTGATTGTGTTGTTGCCAGCCTCTAATCCATTGAATTTGATTCTTATCTAAAACATGAGTTGGTAAAAGTTTCATGTCTTTTATTGTGGCCAAAGTATTTTATTCCTTATAGAAGGTATGATTTTCTGGCACATTTCAGGGGATCGATAAGGCAAGGTGATCGCCTTTGGTTGGGTCCAGCAGATGATGGCAGCTACAGAGAGGTCAAAGTGAGGACTGTACACAGAAATCGTCTGCCTTGTAGGCTGATCCAGGCAGGGCAGGCAGCGTGTGTTGCATTGATCGATGTTGGACGGGAGGAAGTCAGAAAGGTATTGGTACACTTTATTTGGGGTTGGGTTGTTTTTACTTCCTTTGTAAACATTTATAGCAGAGTAACCATTAATGGTAACATAATCACTATTCAAACACTTATTGTTTTGGTATGTCTATAAGGGAAGTAAAGAATAGTATAGTAGGTCACAAGAGGATATAAAGAAGATTGATGTGAGATGGCTGGCTGTTCCAAAGAAAAGTTTAGTTATAAAATTCACCCAGCCATAAACATATCTACAAAGGATCTGTCACAAGTTGGTTTAGAGACTATACTCCAATAGAAAATGAAAGACAGAAGAGCTACCCAAAAGCCAGAAGAAAAACTGACCAAAAACCTGAAGAGAAGAAAATGGAAAGACATATTAACATTGGAAAGACAACATTGAGAAAACCAATTTATATCAAGAAGGTCCTTCTTCTGGAATCACCATGAGAACAAAATATACAGATTAGATACATATACAGAACCCAGAAAAAGCCACGAAGAAGAGAATGATAGAAAGGGGTTAGATGGGTTAGGTGGAGAAAGTTGTGCATGAGACTGTGAGGGATAGGAGATGGTGGACTGCCTACACTCCATTGGGAGATAAAAGACAGAAGAAACAACAACTAATTCTCCTCCTCCTCCTGCTAATATTTGTTCAATTGAGTCTACTTGTGTGTTTTCTAGGGTATGGTACTCTTGAGTCCCGAATCGCCCTTATACTGCTGCAAGGTCTTTGAGGCCGATGTGTACGTTCTCTTTCACAATAAGTGCATCACTGTCGGCTTCCAGACTACAGTACATATAGGTACAGTGTGCCAGACGGCTGTCATCACACACATTGACAGGGTAAGTTTGGCCTTCATGACCGTCTCTTTTCATTGTCTGCCTTTTCATTGCACCAGGTTTTATCCCATGTGGCCATCACCACAGATCATAAAAACACCGTAGCTCTAGCTTTGACCCCAGGGATCTCTGAAACACCTGCACTCATGAACCGCATGACAGGGTCTGAAAATCAGACTCAGCCTTTGCAGTATGAGATAAACAGCTGAACCACTTTCACCACAGAGTCCTGTTGTTATTGGGTGTAGATATAATTCTCATCTTGTTCTTCTGTGAAGCCAACAGGACAAGAGAAACAGAAGATGACAGTCAGTGATATACCCACTCTGATACTCCACCCTGATGTGGTAGAGGGTAATGTGAGTTCCAGAGACCCCAAGAGCTATGTTAGTAGTTATTTGGCCACTAGTAGGGTCTCCTGACTTTGACCAGATCAAGGGATTGGTACAAGACCAAGAGACACATAACCTTGCTACCTTGTAGGTAGACTGGGAACAGTCAAAGCAAGGGAAAGCAAATTGAAAAAAAAAAATGCTTTATGAGACTTTTTCTACTTTGCTTTCACAGGCTGTAAACTAGTGAGAGGTTCTTGTTGTTTGTCCACTTTTTTTTTCCAGTGGCCTGCACATCTGTTTTACAGATCTGAATTATTTATATGCAGACTGTTGGTTCCCAGCATCTCAGGCAGACGCACTATGACTTCAAAGGAAACACCCCAAATCAGCATGCTTTTATAATATGCTTGTAGATCTGTCCTTGGAATCCACACAGGAAGATTTGATGAGGCATTGTTGAGGAATACAATTAGCTAACATTTCCTGTGGGATGAGATTATCATGACAACCTACTTTTGAGACAATTGTCATGCCAACCTACTTTTGAGACAATTGTCATGCCAACCTACTTTTGAGACAGTTGTCATGCCGTCTCATGTTGTCTCATATGACATGCATGGTTGTTTGTAGTGTTACTGTTCTTGTTTCCCAAATGGGGTCAGGTAACACATGTGTGAGAACTAGCTCTCAGTTTGCCCATGTTAGTCTGTCCACAGTCTTTTTATCTCATGTACTTCCAGTAGTTTCTGATACAGTTGTTGCTCCTTCATGCCATGATGTAGAACACCCCCCAGAGATCCCAGTAAACTGCAGTTGCTATGGCTGGCCGAGTACTGGACAGAAGTGATGTTATCAGTGCCATGCGCTGCACTTACCGAACTGAGGAGCATGCCAAAGGACATGACTCATATCCCTGTCTAGACTGATGGACATGGGGGTGCAGCCTGGAGCTGCAAGAAATGAACATTTCACTAAGGGGACAAGAAGTTTCATTATCCAACACAGAACAGACGTCATCAGTCGTTTTACACTTGTGCTGCTTTTGAGGAAGAGATCAAAGCACCTAAGGATCTGTCTGGAGTGCTGTGATAATAATCCTTTCTCATCACTAATCCCCCCCCCCCCCCCCCCCCCCAGCCCCCCCCCCCCCCCCCCCCCCCCTCCCCCCCCCCCCCCCCCCCCCCCCCCCCCCCCCTAGCCCCGCCACCCCCCCCCCCCCCCCCCCCACCCCCCCACCCCCTCCCCCCCCCCCCCCCCCGCCCCCCCCCCCCACCCCCGCCCCCACCCCCTCCCCCCCCCCCCCCTCAGTCTCTCTTAGTTTCCCTTCTAGGAAATTAGTCACAATAATTGTTTAATATTTGAAGCACTGTCAAGGTATGGGGTTCACATCTGCAGGTCAGATTTGAAAACTAATGACTTTGGCTCTCGGTTTGACCCAGCCTAAAATGTCCAACAGGCAATGTTCAGGGAAGCCAGCGTGCTGTTGACCACATTACCCACTGAGTGCAGATTGGTCTAGCATTTTATGCTTGATGTGCTTTTGATGTAAACAAGGAGGGTCCTTTACATTACTTTATAGTCATGTAAATAGGATTTGGAAATCTGTTTATCATAAATGTGGCTGTTTATTGTGCCTTGGGCATTTTACTATCATATATGCTGGCTATAAAAGGTACCTTAATTGTTTACATAATGTGTTTTTTGTTCTCTTCACAGCCACACATAAAGACAAATGAGAAGGCTAGGGTGACATTCACCTTCAAGTTTAAACCCGAGCATATACGAGTGGGCTCTAGGCTATTGTTTCGAGATGGAAGATCAAAAGGAATGGGTGAGGTCATTAAAATTAAACCCTTCGAGGACGTCATTCGCTGATGATGCCCCTTCATGAAAAAAGTGTGCAGCAATAACTGAAGCCATATTCGGTTAGACCTGATCCAGTCAAGATGTATTCGGACACGTTGAAGTGATTTGCCTGGAAGGAAATCCCGTGCATCAAGAGTACTGCAGAGTAGGCTAGTTTTATTATTTACCTTGTATAATAGATGCCTTCTTCTGTATAAACATCTTGAACAGTATACTTGCTGTTTACATTAGACATTTCTTGATCAGTGGTGTCAATGAGCCCATGATGAGATTGCCATTTGTTGATGTTATTTGTATGGATGCCTGTCTTTCTTATCCCCTAAACTAGTAGAAGTATAAATAGAAGAAGCATTGAGAATACTAACGGTCTTACCTCACACCATCGAGGTTGCCTGTCTGCTTATATGTTAGCTTTTCTCAGTCATGTTCTGTCCTCTAATAGACGAGTAAAGATAGTCACGTGATAGTCATGCTCATGTTTTGATCTACCAACCCAAAGCCACAGTGTCATCTCACAGGATCCAACCCATCCCCTGGGTGTTCACAGGAGTGTGCTCCTCACCGAGCCACCTTACATAGTTTGTTGTTTTGTTGTCCCAGTTATTAAATGTGAGCATACAATAGGACTACCACTTGTCCCATTATTTATCAAGTGTGTGGGAGAAATTCAGAGCATCGTAGTTTTATTCTTCATGTTTAAATAATTCATGAAAATCCAATTGCACTATGAGTTGTTGATGGAATGTATTAACCACATTTCTCTCACAGAAAAGGGCATCATCAGCAGTTCTACTTCTTCAGTATATCCAAGTGTTAATGGTGTCTATGACTGGAGAAATCCAGTGTTATCATGATACCTAATCAACCATGATACCTCACTGAAAAATGCACCTTCTGTACTAACATTGTAACTGGTTCTTTGTTCACTGCAGCTGTGTCTTTGTTCACTGTAACTAGTTCTTTGTTCACTGTAACTGTATCTTTGTTCACTGCAATGGTGTCTTTGTTCACTGTAACTGTGTCTTTGTTCACTACAGCTGTGTCTTTGTTCACTCCAGCAGTGTCTCTGCTCACTGCAACTGTGACTTTGTTCACTGCTACAGTGTCTTTGTTCACTGCAGCTGTGTCTTTGTTCACTGTAACTGTGTCTTTGTTCACTGCAATGGTGTCTTTCTTCACTGCAATGGTGTCTTTGTTCACTGCAATGGTGTCTTTGTTCACTGCAGTGGTGTCTTTCTTCACTGCAATGGTGTCTTTCTTCACTCCAGCAGTGTCTCTGCTCACTGCAACAGTGTCTTTGTTCACTGTAATTAGTTCTTTGTTCACTGCAATGGTGTCTTTGTTCACTGTGATGGTGTCTTTGTTCACTGCAACAGTGTCTTTATTCACTGCAACAGTGTCTTTATTCACTGCAGCTGTGTCTTTGTTCACTGTAACTAGTTCTTTGTTCACTGTAACTGTGTCTTTGTTCACTGCAACGGTGTCTTTGTTCACTGCAGCTGTGTCTTTGTTCACTGTAACTGTGTCTTTGTTCACTGCAATGGTGTCTTTGTTCACTGTAATGATGTCTTTGTTCACTGTAACTGTGTCTTTGTTCATTGCAATGGTGTCTTTGTTCACTCCAGCAGTGTCTCTGCTCACTGCAACTGTGACTTTGTTTACTGCAACTGTCTTTATTCACTGCAACAATGTCTTTGTTCACTGCAACATTGTCTTTGTTCATTGCAGCTGTGTCTGTCTCAAGAAAGCATTCGTTAAATTCTCCAGCTGTGTTTCATCAGCATTGTGCATCTTTCTGCTTGCAAAGACAATTTCTCTCCTCACATCAGACCATTTATGATATTCTTCCATTCCATCACCTCAGACCATCCAGCCCGTTCCCTCAGTCTTCCTCTTCTTCTACAGCTCATATTTTCCATCATCACAGTGTTCTCAGAGCCTGTCCTCTGGTCATGAGACTAAAGAACGTGTGTTTATCACTCCTTCAGGTGGGTATCATGTTCTACTTCTGTCAGCTTTTTCCGAGCACTTGTTTAATTACCACCATGTACATGAAATATTGTTAGAAAATATTTGTACTTGACAGTCTAGATTATCATCTCCTTAAAAAAAAAAAAGCTTTATACATAGAGACCTTCTCCTGAACTGCAAATTGATTTCTTTAGTTCTGCCTTGAATCCACAATCAAGTCATTGCAGTAACTGACAGTGCAATCATTCTGAATGATTCCCAGTGATTGTGTCAATGAGTTCTTATTATCTGTTCAGCATTTTTGAATCTGTAAGAGTGGTTTCCTATTGTCAATTTGAATAAAGAAGTCAACAACAAATTGCATAATTTAGAGCCTGGCATATTGTGCAGTATATCTTATCTATTCAGGGGTGTACCTGGTAGGCAATAAAGGACAAGATTTGATGGTTATTGTTACTCTTGTAACACAATAATTATATTGGATTGTTCGTATTTATTTCAGTTTACAGTTGTATTTTATTTGCTTTATGGTGCTTATTTCTCCAGTATGCAGCTTATGAAATGCAGTAAAATATGCCAGGAAATGAATTGTGCTATCTGTTATTTGTATCTTTAGTCAAATTTGTAAAGTATTGTACATTCAGTTACCTTTTTCATTCTTTGCCTTATGCATTTCTTCCTTCTTATCTGTTCATTATGTTATGCATATGTAGCTGGATAGTTAGCAAGGTAGGTATTTAGGATAGCTATATAGGTAGTAGGCTGTCTGTTCATCACTATAAACATACTAATAAAGCTTACAATATAACAAGCTTGTAAGTCAAACCTGTGTTGGCATTCAGTGTTCTTCAAGCTGCCAGATGTTATGGACAAGCGGTGAGAATAATTTGATCACAAGTTGATGCTGTTTGATTAATTTATGCTAGCATTTGATTGTTACATCATTACTGGGGGCACTATTCGGATCAGCTTGACTTCATGTGAAATGCACAATAACTGAGAGCAGAGAATTGTTCAAACAATGAAACAACATGAGGATGTATGTGCGGTTAAATGAGATGTTACCATTTCTGATAGAACTAAACGAAATGTGACCCAATGCAGCAACAGGGTCATAATTGCAGTGTGACTAGTTTCTGGTGGAACTAAAATAGTTGTGACCCAGAACATTGACAGGGTCAGATTTTCAGTGTGACTAGTTTCTGGTGGATCTAGAATAGTTGTGACCCAGAACATTGACAGGGTCAGATTTGCAGTGTGACTAGTTTCTGGTGGAACTAAAATAACTGTCACCTAGAACAATGACTGGGTCAGATTTGTGACCAGTTTCTGGTGGAACTAGAATATTTGAAGTCACATAATATGAAAAAGGTGTCAGCTCCTTTGTGTTCGTTCCTTGTTTATAATTTACCAGTTTAGATGGTATTTGTCAGTTACTTTTTGCTTAACCTTTGTTTTACAACAAAATATTTGACACTATCTAGAGCACTCTTAATAATCTTATCTTTCTTGTTTGCAAATTTTGACTGTGCCATTATTTTAAAGTAGAAGTATTATTTTTATAGTTCTTATTGATTTTAAATTTTTTTTTTATTTCTTTCCTTCTTTACATTTACATTTTTTAAAGTCCTGTAGCTTTTGGTTTTAAAATGGCTGCTTTGCTGAACATCATAAAAGTGTATGTAAGCTATGTCATGTATTACATAATAATATGAAGCACGCCACAAAATGTTGTCCTTTTAAACTGATTCTAAGTGTTTACATTTCATTTGGGAGACCCGATTTCGACTCCCATTAAGGTGAAGGCCCGCAAAGGCCTGGCAAGTGGCCCCCAGATCATTGCCAGTCGTATTTTATTAATGATCTTTCTATGCTGGGGCTTGAGCATCTGGCCCATGACCATCCCCATTTTCAAACTGGAGGCCTCTTAAGTAAACTTAGTTGAACAGCCTTGCAGTGGAATATATATAGAAGATTAATTATTTAATCTCATGAGGCCACATCTTATATATGTGATCTATGGTTGATTGGCTGTCCTTCAAACTTGTGGTTGGTGTTATTTCGGTTTGTGGGATTTTAGTTAATCAAAGTTATATATTTTTATTTCATATAATCTTTCAACTTTGTTTTATGGAATACATTGTATACCATAGTTTTATGTGTCATGGATTTCTGACTTCTGTTGAAGTACAGTTACATCATAATTGATGTATGTATACACACACATACTTCACATCCGCATTGGGTAGATTTGTATAAAATGACTTTCCCTCCTTAGTTGACCCAGCCTAAAATAGATACAAGAAAATGTCCTGGAAAGTAAAGGTAACACAATATGGCTGATGTCCAGTTGTGTGGAAATGGTTCTTTACTTGACACATACATAAATCAGACAAGCAGTATTCCTATTTCTCTTCTTATGCCCTCTTTCCCCCACCCCCTCCCCCAAGCCGTTGTATCCTTTGGTAAAACAGGCAGTTCAACCCATATATGGCTATCTTCCAAACTTTGAGCACTAAAGATGGCGGCCACAAAATATCCTTTCGAGCCACAGTCACGTGTCAATTGCGTACTTCCGGCGAGTTAATTTGCGGTTTTCCGGCGACTACCGCCACGAGTCCCCCACGCCGCTCACGCAGCGTGAATTGGGGCTAAACTAGATGGCTAGGACCCACGAGCAACAGCTTCCGCATCTCCTGAAGCTTTGCTCGTGAGTCCTAGCCATCTAGTTTAGCCCCAATCCACCCCGCGTTAGCGGCGTGGGAGACTCGTGGCGGTAGTTGCCGGAAAACCGCAAATTAGGTCATGTGACTGTGGCTCGAAAGGATATTTTGTGGCCGCCATCTTTAGTGCCCGAAGTTCGGAGGATAGCCCCATATCCTCCTTATCTTTTCAATTTCACTTGCTAGTTCCCTTCTCTACATTTTTTGGTCTACCTTTATTCCTTTGACCTTGTGTAATTAACTGTTTTGGTTGTTCTCAGTGTTTTAGTTTCATACTGCAGTACGGATTTGACATTATGCTCTGGTGATCATACC